AAACCAATCAGGTAACCTCTATTATTTGTCCTGTCAACTGTCAAAATTTGGATTTACAAAAAAGATTACACTGACAATGCATGCTATATGTGTAGGATGTCTTCTAGCAGAGGTCGAGGACTTGGTAGGCGTGATAGAGGTGGGCATGATCTTGGCAACAAGCACACTACTTACCAGGTGCCTTAGACGTTTGACCAAGTAGCTGATGACTTTCATATTCGAGACGAGTCAGCGGCTGGTAGGCGGACGGTGGATATATTATCCAGCACTGCAGTTGGGGACCAACCCTCTCCATCTAGTATTTCACATGTTGGCCACCCTTCTCCTTCTGACACAGCACATAAGGGTCAGCCCGAACCTATGAGTTCTAAACCTACCCATATTGATGTCTGCCAACTTATTCAACCATTTCATGATGGGTAAACTTTGCTTCTAACTTGGTCTAATTTTATTATTTAGTCCTAACTTATCTACACATTGCTGCAACTAAGCTTCATTCATTTTGCATTTGGCAGCTTCATTCCTAAGGGTGTCACTCACTAAATAATGTCCATTTTTAGGAGGTATATGGGGCCACATGCAACATGGGAGCAAGTCCCTCAAGATAGGAAAGACAACATTTCTAATAAATTTAAGGTAATACTATATATCAAAACAAATATTTGTTCTACATAATAAGCATCTCTAATTTATAGATTTGTAATTTCACAAAACTATTCTAATTTTAATAGGAAATGTACACGTGGTTGCCACACCATGATACTGGTATACAGCACTCATGGGAGCAAACCCACAAGAGAAATTACAAGAATACAATTCATAGAATAAAGAAAGTAACAATCCAGCAAGTTGGGAGTGATGATCCAAGAATCTAATGAGAGCAGTGCCCAAATACATGCTTGGCACTAACTGGGAGGCAATCTGTTATGGCTGGATGATTGCACCAAGCTATCAAAATAAGTGCATAAAAGCTAGAGAGAATAGATTAACTGAGAAAGATGAATCAATTGTAAAGCACACCGACGATTCCATTTCATTTGCCGAGCACAAACGTAGAATGGTAAACTTTTTATCATAGTCACAATTCAGTTACATTTATTTATATGAATTACTCACTTAATGAATTAATACACTAGGAACAAGGCAGGACGAGGGTCAGCCAAGTTGAGGTCCATAACCGCACTCACCGGAGAAAACAAAGAGAGGGTGATTTTGTCGACGACAAGTCAAAAAGGGTTCGAACAAGCTTCTAATGCCAAATTCACAATAGATTAAATTTCACTATCATAATTTTCACTCAATATATGTTTTTTATGTTGCCACTATTCCTGACAAAGTGCTTAAAACATTTGATTTTCCACTAGACCTATTATATTATGTGATTCTTAATTTTGAAAGTGGCTTATTTCTTAACTTAGAATGTGGCTTATATACTTTGTTTAGGCAAGCTTCCAATAGCTTCTAATACCTATTATATGAGGCTGAAGTAAGATCTACTTGTAACTAAACAGAATTATGCTTGTAATTGAAACAATGGTTACTTGTGTGACTGGGATTAAACTTCATTTTATCAATGAAGATATATGCACGTAACTGAATTTAGATGTGCTTGTAACTAAATGGGCATCTCCTTGTAATCATAGAAAGCTATACTTGTAATTGAACAACTCATTGCCTCTATGACTTGGTCCTAGGTTTTGTTGAATAGGAGGATATATCTGCATGTAACTGAACAGATTTATGCTTGGACCTGAACTGAGATCTGCTTGTAATTAAACAGAACTCTGCTTGTAACTTAACCAATGGATGCTTATGTGACTGGGATTACGCTTAGTTTTATAATTGAAGATATATGCATGTAACTGAACTTAGATGTGCTTATAACTATAGGGGCCTCTCTTTGTAACCATAAAAAGCTATGCTTGTAACTAAATAAGTCACTACCTCTAAGACTTGGTCCTAGGTTTTGTTGAATAGGGGGTATATCTGCATATAACTGAACAATTTATGCTTGGAACTGAACTGTGATCTACTTGTAACTGAACAGAATCATGCTTGTAATTGAAACAATGGTTACTTGTGTGACTGGGATTATGCTTAGTTTTATAATTGAAAATATCTGCATATAACTGAACTTAGATGTACTTGTAACTATACGGGCTTCTCTTTGTAACCATACAAAGTTATGCTTGTAACTGAATAAGTCATTGCCTCTAAGACTTGGTCCTATATTTGATTGAATAAAGGGACATATTGCATGTAACTAAAAGGAGATATGCTTAGAACTGAACTGAGATCTGCTTATAATTAAATAGAACCTTGCTTGTAACCGAACCAATGGTTGCTTGTAGCTTAAACTTGTTCAGTTACAAGCATAGTTCCGACTAGTTACAAGCATATCTCATTTGAGTTACAAGCACAATTCTGTTTGTTTTTCTTACCAAAATCTATTTTTTTATTTCTTCCATTCTAGTTTTATTATCATATAAGGTAATGTGATTACTTGTCATTGATTTATTTCTAAGATGAGTATGACCACTCATATTGCAATCAATATAGTAGCAATCCTACTCTAGAAAGCTTATTTGATGCACAGAAATTGGTTGCAATCTGTGGTGGGCCTTGCAAGAATCAAATTTATGGTTTTAGGAACACCTATCATTATAGAGAGCTTGCTTCTATTGACACTTCATCTGAATCCATCTCCCCAACACCTCCTCCTGAATATGTCAATTCGGATCAATTATAAGAGGCAATTGCTAAAATGGTTGCAAAGGAGAGATAAGTAGCAGCATCAAGAGAGGCACAAGTTTTTTAGGAGGCCAAGAAATTAGCAGAAGAGACACTGAACGCCAGGGAGGAGGCTATGATGGTTGTAATGATGGAAAAGTTCAATACAATGCAAGGTGGATCATCAACCTCAAATGAGAACACTGGAGAAGGCAATAAGCAGTGAAGTTATAGTTTAACATTGTTATGTTTTAGTACTTTAAATTCTTATTTCATTTTTTATATTCTAAAGTAGTTATCAAATTGTATTATTAAAGATTTTGACACTTCAAACTAATTGTACTATGATGTTTAATTACTTTTTATGTATGTTATTGGTGAAATACAATTGAAATGATACAAATGCATGTGCATTACAGGAATTACAATGCAATATGAGAATTGAAATGATATATATATATATATTACAGCAATTACAGCATCAGTGACTCCTAAAATGGGTCACAAAATTATTAATCCAATTGTGACCTTGCACGCAGTTACGATAATAAGGTTAATGGGGTCACTAAATAGTGACGGACTAGTGACGGAAAAATTGTGGTCACTAATTACTTACTGCATTCTCGGTAACTAAATGTGTATCTAATTTTATCATAAAAAGGGTCACCAAATAATTAGTGACCAAAGCAATCGATCACTAATTAGTGACTGAAAATATCCGGTCACTCGTTAATGACGGAAAACTACGGTCACTATTTACTGACCGAAGTAATGGCAGTCACTAATTAGTGACCGATTATAGTGGTCACTAATTAATAACCGATTATTTTCAGTCGCTGATTAGTCACCACCTTGGTCACAAAACCGATTAGTGACGAGGATTTTTCTTACCAACCGAATCGGTCACAAATGCAGCCACTGATTTATTTAGTGACCGCTGTCCTTTGAAATTAGTAACTGCTGGTGCAGTCACTAAATGTCATTTTTCCGGTAGTGTATATTAATCAAATCAAATCACAATTTGGTTCAATTTACTCGGTTTAATCAATTTATTCGGTTTGAAAAACATCCCTAAGTATGTCCAAACAAGAGTATATGAAAAAAAGGCATATATCTACACTAGAACAAATGGGGAATTATCAATATAGTGACATTCATTTGAAATGTTATTACAATTGTTATATCCACCACTTATGAACAAGTGTTGAACAACTGCGACCATCACGTGTATAGTGAGATGATTTATTAATTATATTTTTAAATGATATAAAGTTATATAATTTTTGTAACAATTATAAATGTTGCAAAAGTAGGATTTTGTGAAGATGCAATAGAATTGTTTATTAGGTTTTATGATAATCCTAAAAGTCATAAGACAAACTTTTGATTGGCATTATTCATTAGTTTTATGATAATTGCAAGTATGAAAAACCTGTAAATTCGTCTCATCACCAAATGTTGAAGTAGCTAGTTAATTATCATTTGGATTGACAACAAGCGCAATAAAAATATGAATTTTTAGATTTTAAAATGTCATAAATAAATAATTAAATTATTGTCAATCTAAAAATTTAAATTTTTAGCTGACTAGATAATTAGTGTTTTTGTTAAGTTGTAAGAAGCTATATAAAGTCATGATAAGATAATAATTTAAAAATAGAATTTAAATTTGTGACATTTTTGAATGAAGAGAAATTTGTATCATTTGGTAACATTAAACAATTAGGGACATGTAAAACTTAGTATCCCCAAACATTTAATTTCATTTTAATATTGTTTTTTTTTCTTTTTCAAGAACATTGCTAAATTTCTGAAAGTTAACATTATACGCATACTTATACTTGCGCAAATAAATTGAAATATTTGTGCACGTGTGTTCCAATAATATAAAAATGCTAACAATTAAGAACTAATTATGTGGAAATTTATTATATGAAAATTAATAAAACAGTGTTATTTTCCTTGCAATTAGAAAACAAAAACCATAAATGAATTTTTATTTTTTAAAAAAGAAGAAATTTGTGAGTATTGCTGTATTACATGAATTAACTATTAACATTCCAAGTGTGACACAAAAATTACTAAAAGCCTTTTTTTTTTTTGTGTGTGGAATCTTACATAAGAACTTTTTTTGAAAATTGATGAAATTGCATGTATGGAAATCGTGACCTAGTTGACCTGGAAATCTTAATGTCCGCAAATGAATATTAACACAAGTTGAAAATTAATACCAAATTTTTGGGAGGAATTAAGTCTGAGAGATTGGGAATCTACTGACCTAAAGCTTGCCTAGCGTGGAAGGAGAATGGGTTTTGTGAGGTTTGCTGCGAGTCATATAGGTCATGGTCGGTGTCGGCTAATGTCGTAGCAACTTTTTGTGAGTGTAGAGTGTCGTCACTAATAGAAGCCCTCGTCACAACCATATGCCATCTTCTCACAACTGATACAATTCCCTGAGCTCTATTTGTAATTCTTGCAGCACCCATTATACACATGAAGAATCCACTTATTTCTACAGCTGAACAAACCCGCATCCACTCAATCAATCATTTTTTGAATCATACGAGAGCTACATTGCTTACCAAAATTCTAGGCATTTTGTTCAATGATATTTATATATTTATTTAAATTAATAATAATTTAAATATATTAAGAATGAGCATAATGGAAATAAATAATATTAAAGATGTGTATGTCGCTGGAAAGAAAATTAGAATTAAAAATAGTTGCATTTGCGACGAAAAACGGGTCAAGTTCGTCGCAAATTCTACGTCGTGCTGAGAAAGCCTTTATTACACCGGACAGTCCCTATAATTTATCTAAAGCTTCACTTTGGTTCTTGTATTTCAAGAAGTGCACGTTTTATGTAATGTGATTTGGAGAATACTCCACTTTAAAGTCCCTCCGTGATTGGAGATGGAATTTTCCGTCTCCAAAACCTCGTTAATTGATCACGTGAGAAGCACGCACTAATGTTTAGTATATGGGTTTAACCAATAATGATCCTTTAAATTTTGAACAATGTTCAATTTAGTATTTTTCATTTTTAAATATCTCAATTGAGTCCCTAAAAAGTTCTATTAAATAGCATTTTTTTAAAAATAATGTATATGAGAAGAGACAAATCATTTCATCCCTTCTCTTCCTTGACCAGAAACCCATGCCCTTCTTTCTCTTATTATTATTATTATTATTATTATTATAATACAGGTGAGTTGGATGTTATAATTATTAATTTCATTTTCATGCTCATAAAAATTCTCAAACTTTTTCTTAAGTCCATTTTGTAATATTCAGGCTCAATCCCGATTGAGTAAATTTTATGAGTACCCATGAAATATGGGTAAAATTATCATTCCAAAATGGGTAAATAGACTAAAATGGTACAATTTTTAAACCAGTGGTCATTAAACGTGGATTTTTGAAATATTGGGGCCGATGCGGAAATTTAGGTAAAAGACGGATTGTGAGTAGGTTAGTGTAAATAGGCCGTATATAGCACACATTCAGTAAAGCACCTGGTAATTAATAAAACAAATATGATAAGGAGTGAAGATTAGTTACCAGAAGACCACCAGAATTAAAGAAAGTCCTGGGAGATTTAGCTTGGAAAATGAGCCACAATGCACCCAACTGGCTGGCTGTGATGGTAACCAAGCAAGCAATGATGAAGAACCTGAACCGATGGCTTATGGTCGATAACTGCCTTCTAATCCTCATGTGCTCGTCAAATATGAGGCCTGCAACGTCCGACCCACAACCCTCCGACTCCAAGAGCTCATGAAACCCTTCAAATCTAAGTATTTGGAACTCACAAGTCACCCTGAAAAGCACACATACCAGCAAGAACACCCCGTACGGTACACCCACGACACCATCGCCGAGCTGGCCAACACTGGCAAATCTACTGGAATTGGAAATGCAGTAATTTTGTTTACGCGGTCGATGGTTTTGAAGAAGACTATCTTGTGAGCGAGTTCGACGACAAAGGAAGGAACAAGGATGGAAGTGAGGGAGAGGAAGGCCTTGTAAAGGTGGCGTGTGTAAGCACGTCGAACGTAGAGACGTTCTTCATGTAAAGCATCCAGAAAAAGGAGTTGATGGAGGCCGCCATGGCTGTTTACACGCGAGAGAGAAATCATCACTCCTATAATATATATATATATATTATTTCCACTGTCAAACAATTTTATTTACTAAATTACAGAGAAGCTTGTAATTGAAGTAATAAAAAGGTGAAAAAGGAAAGATTTGATAGATGAAGCTGTTGGAATTCTATAACTGTGGTAAAAGTAGTCTATTGTCAAGCTCCACCAGTTAGCCGTTTGAACCAAACAAAGGTTCGAACGGTGGTAGTTCGAATCAAAAAGAAAAACGTTCAAATGGAATTGAAGTTATAAATCTGACAAAAACTATATATTGGAAACTCCAACATGGTAGCAATACCTTGTGATGAACCCGGAGAAAGTGAAGAAGGAAATAGAAGCAAGGAGTGACTCAGACACCTGCACCAGCTTCCGGATGCTGCCTTCACTATCATCGGCTGCGTGATCATCAGGGACATGGTGAACATGGAGGAGGTTGTCACGAAGAAAGGGACGATGATGGCCAGTAGGACGAAGGTGGAATATGAGATGAACGTAGCAGCGCATGAGGAGTCACTACAAAAAAAATTGAAAAAAACGGCGGTTAAAATGCATATAAATCTATGCAAGTCACCATATTGATAGACACACAAATGATTGGATTGTTATGCCCTACAGGGGATGCTAATTCAGCAGCAAAACCAGCACTTACATATACATGTGATAGATGGATAGGACTGTTTTTCCATTCAGAAACATCATAAAGAGATAAAATTCAATGAATAGAAAGTCCTTCAAAACGTCAAATAGACAGATTTCTCAGTCAGAATATAAAGCCTATTTCTCATTAATCACCACAATTTCTCAAACAACCAAAACAAAATTGCAAATGCTGGACTACATGTAGGACATCATCTGTGCAAAGAATGGCATAAGTTCAAAACCTATGCATACGATTAACTTTTGATCCCTTTCCTTAACCTTGGAGGCATAAAGCTGCAGCTAGGAAGATTATCATCCCTAAGAGAGGTCTCAAAGTCCTTGCCTCTGACCAATATGCAAGATATTCATATGCCATTTTTTTTTCTTTTCCATATTCATATAACAGTCATGCAATTGCTGAATCCTAGCATATAAACAAACTAAAGAATGCTAGTATGAACACGAGTTTGAAGTAAATTTTAGGACCACTTCAATTACTGTTGTGTGAAAGAAATCACACTGAAATCACACAAAAGAGGTTTAATCATAAAATTCGTACTGATAACAGATATGCTAATAACATCGCACTGAAATCACACAAGACAAGTTCAATCATAAAATTTGTACTGATAACAGATCGTGCTAATAACATTCGTACTGAATATCTTACGTTGCTTGAGATTCAACGCCATCTGCAAATGAATGAACGCAAAATAGAAACCTGATTCTACGAAGATAATACCCTCAAACCAACCTCAATCTCTCTCTCGTTTTGAAACCTACTAATTCTAATGACAAAGGAGATAGAAGGGGTTTCAGTTGGATTGTAGCAGAGTTGGATTCAAGCAACAACGAAGGTTTGAGCGATTAGCAAATCTAGGGTTCACGATCGACAATAGAGGAGGGGTTGCGGGGGTTGCGAGAGCTAGCTTGAAAGAATGCTATCCCTTTTATATTTAGGAATACAAAAAGTAAAATAAATATATATAAAATTTTATAGAAAAATTATTTTAAAATAGCGGTTTAAACCGCCGTTTTATACCCAAGTGCCTTAATTCATGTTGTATAAAACAGTGGTTACGTGAACCACCATATTATACAAAATATTACGACAGTTACTAATAACTGTTGCAATATAACCACCATTTTTTTTTTTTTTTTTTTTGTAGTGAGTGATCCATTGCGCACAACCACAGGACCCTCCCTAAGTTTTTCAGTTCATGATCATGATGGTCCGATGATTTTGAATCATCATGAGACACCATCAGCAAGGGGAATTGGCTTCTTCAGTCTCACCATTTGAATCTGTAAATTGCACGTTCACATGGGTCTCACCCGAGTTGGTGGGCCGATCCATGGCCATGGCTTCCTACTTGCCTTCTAATTTCTTATTATTTATGGGGCTTCCAGCTTCTAGGAGCCACCTCTCCAATGATTACACAGCTTTTCAACCATTCACTTAGGTGTTTCTCTCTTTTCTTTTTTCTTTGTTCCTTTAGCAACTGTAATAAGGACAACCGTGATTCGTTTTGTGGTCTTCTCAAATGGATCCCATTAGGTATGTGCCTATAAAATTCAATATATATAATGGTTTTCTGGGGTTGTATGGTATAAAATTTTTGTTGTTCTTCTTTCATTTCCTGAAAGTCACGTGTCCAAAGCAGTGAGGAAGTCAAGATCCCAGGGATATGGGTGCAAATTTTAGTAGATGCAAAATTTAAAAATTAGTGAGAATATTTTATAATAAGCTTATAGTATATATATTTTGTTACTAAAATGTTTAGAGGGCATGTGCCCCCACTCCTCTGAACCGACTTCGCTATCGATCTAAAGTAAAGTTTTTCATTGTCGTCTTATAGAAACTAATGTGCCAAATGCCTACATGGATGTGTCCTGTCATGATAATCCACTTCGATTTAGCTAATGCCTGATTAAAAGGGTGGTTTGCGGGCACTAATCAACATTAAATTTTGATTCAGTAAATTATTTGACATGTAAGTAAAATCGTGATACATATAAAAAAATTTAATATGTTAAACATCTAATGAGACTGACTTACTAAATTAAGATCTAATATCAAATATACTGACGTGTAAATTTCACCTATCCCAAGACGTGATATGAAAATTTTTTTTTACAGTACATGATCATAAACTTTTATCTATTAATTCAAAAAAATTAAGTAAATTTGTATTGCTCATTCAAAGTTTATAAACAATTGAAACTTTACCATTGGTAAATATCCCTCTTAATTTTAAAAAATAATTTAAATTACTTTGCCACCCTTTATGGATCTCCTATATGAGACGGCATTGATAAGAATTTATAATTCTCTTTTATAATGTTGAACATCGTTAATAAATGATACATTTATTCCACAATAATTATGAAATTATTATATGTCATAATAACAGTAATTCAAATTGAATACTGCATTTTTCTTTTTTGTTACTTGCACCACTCCACTAAAATATTTACATATATTTTCCACCTCACTGCTTTCCCTACTGCACAACGGTAAATATAATAAATAAATAAATTATTTTTGTGGATGGTCTCAGATGACTTGTTGGCATCAGACGGTTGAGGCATGCCATGCCGATCACGAGAATATCGCAGAGCCGTACTTACAAAGTGATCGCTTGCTCGTGCACAAGTGATAAGGGACTCAATTGCCACAAACAAAAAAAAAAGTAGATTTGCAGAAAAGGTAAATAATTAAAAAAAAAAAATCATTTCTAGAAAACAAAATAAACTTTTTTACGCTTAAATTAATTATTTTTCAATTGCTTAAAATGTGTAAATTTAGACATGACATAACAAAAACGGGAATATATGTATGTATATTCAATTTAATGCCTTCTTATAAAGCTATGATAAAACTAAAAAGAAAATTTATTTAAAAAAGTAATTTAAGAGGATTATAACAAAAAGAATTACAAAATAGAATTAAATATAGTGTACAAAATTCAATAATAGTCGCCAAAGTTAATAAATAAATAACAATTTTTATACTTAATTTCTAGCTTTGATTCTATTCAATTTTTTTATTTTAACATTTAATATTCATAATGTTGAGTGACTACTTTTGCACGTGTCATATGAATATAATTTTAGTTATAAAGAGATTCTCTTACATAATTTTTTTCCTAATTAAAGGATGATTAGAGAAATTTAATTTTTTAGTCATGGTTATTATTATTATTATTATTGTCATGTGAATTAATTGTGGTTGTTATTATTATTTTTATCATATATTTACCTACCATCTTATAGCTTGCAAAGAGCAAACAAAAATCTGAAAAATTAAATAAAATTTAAATTTCTACTAGTTCAATGTTCCTTTCTCATATATATATATATATAATATATAAAAGCTCCAAATTACCCCTTATATATAAAGCAAATATAAATTCAATCTCTTTCCAATTTTCTTCTCATAAATTGACAAGGACAAAATCTTACCTACTTTTATTTGATAACAAAAGCCGTAAAGTACTCCCACAATATAATCCTTGAGGAATAAAAGATTACCAAATCTCCTTTTCAAGACAAAGGAGTTCCATTGCATGTTTCAACCAAAAAAAAAAAAATGAATCCTATTTAAAGTTATTTTTAGGGGTGTTGATTGAACTGAACTGAACCGAACCGGTTAAATTTAATAAATTGAACTAAACTATGGTTTGGTTTAGTTTTATTTCATATAAATCACGGCTTGGTTTGATTCGATTTAAACTAATTTTTTTTTCATGATTCAATTCGCAATTTGACCACTAAATTGTAAGCTATTTTTGGATTTACAGTTTAATCCTTCAACTTTTTTCTCTTTTATTCTACTCTCTCCACTTTCTTTTCTTCTGTCATTTCAACCCCCAATCTCTTTTCCTGTTTATTTTTCTTTTTTCTTTTTTTTTATGGCCCTCAAGTTTTCGATTCTTTCAAATAACCCTCTAATTTGGGTTATTATATACCAAATCAATGTTTAATTTTTTTAATTTATTAATTTTTTTTGACATTTATCCTTTCTAATTATCAAATTTAATTGATTTTGCTGCAAGTCTATAATTACATAGGATTAAAGAGTTTGGTAAAAAATTTGACGGATTTAATTTATAAATTATGGTTTCAAACCGAATTAAACAGTGAATTGTAATATTGTTTGATTTAGTTCTTGAAAATTCATAACTTAATTTGATTTGATTTTAAAAGTTATAAATCGTAAGATACAATTTGATTTGAAATTGAGCTTTAAACAAACCACGAACACCTCGAGTAATTTTTATAGGATAAAAGGGGAACTCTGGAGAACTTCAAATTCTAATTTGTTTTGAGCATACTTTAACCTATGTATTATTTGACTCAAGCATCAGCAGATTTTCCAGTGTATGTTTCTTGTACATGAACTTATTCTCTATTTTTAAGATTACAATAGAACACAACAAATACTTTGCATTCTTTGATTTTAAATTTTTTTTTTTTTTTTTGTTTTGGATATGAACAAGATATCTTTTGATTATGAACAAGATTACTTGTTTATTAACTTTGAGTTTATACTTTTAATTGACTGGCTATCAATTAAATAGACAGCATAAGAGAAAATTAGGATTTTTGAAGGATAACCTATTTGTCAAATTTCTGATGAACTTTCCGACTGGACCCGGAGTAAATAAAATTAATTTTTTGACAAATATTATCCATCAAAACATAAAAA